GAGAATCTGATGGTGTTTAATACCGAAAAATGCAAGGTTCTCCACCTTGGGAAGAAAAACCTGCAGCATCCTTATAGGCTTGGCAGTGCTATGCTGGCTAGCACTACAGAAGAAAGAGACTTGGGGGTCATCATTGACCACAAGATGAATATGAGCCTGCAATGCGATGCTGTGGCTAGTAAAGCGAGCAAAACGCTGGCTTGCATCCATAGATACTTCTCAAGCAAATCCCGGGACTTCATTCTCCCATTGTACTCGGCCTTAGTGAGGTCGCAGCTGGAGCACTCAGCCCAGTTTTGGGCTCCACAACTCAAAAAGGATGTGGAGAAGCTTGAGAGAGCCCAGAGAAGAGCCATGGACATGATCGGAGGTCAGGAAAACAGACCTTACAATGACAGGCTGAGAAGCACGGGGCTTTTTAGCTTGGAAAAGCACAGGCTCAGGGGTGATCTGATGGCCACCTATAAGTTTATCAGGGGTGACCACCAGGATCTGGGGGAACGTTTGTTCACCAGAGGGCCCCATGGGATGACGAGGTCGAACGGTCATAAACTACTGCAAGACTGTTTCAGGCTGGACATAAAGAAGAATTTCTTTACTGTCCGAGCCCCCAAGGTCTGGAACAGCTTGCCATTGGAGGTGGTTCAAGCACCTACATTGAACACTTTCAAGAGTAAATTGGATGCTTATCTTGCTGGGATCCTCTGACCCCAGCTGACTTCCTGCCCTTTGAGCAGGGGGCTGGACTCGACGATCTTCTGAGGTCCATTCCAGCCCAAATGTCTACAAAAGTCTATGAAATCTATATATTGAAACAAATTCACAATTTAGAACCATTGTCCTGGAAACATTACATAAGGCTTAATCAATATTTATTTTACTGTTTTGTGATGTGCGCCAACCCAGTTAAGCCTTGCCCTTATACTTCAACAACAGATTCAGGATTTTGCTGAAGTGGTCACAGGTTGTTCTTTAAAAGTTACTTGTAAATGGGAGGGGGAAAAAGGCTTGTGCCCTTATGCTTTGGAGAGACAAATTCTAGTATGTTTTTCTCTCCCTGCTATTATAATTTAGAGGCCCATCTTAAGCCTAAAAGGAAATTATAAGAATCAAAGTTAAACAAGTTAAAGAAGAATCAGGCTTTAATTACTACAGTAGTTATTTAATGAGTCTGTATTAAAAAGTCTGTATATGCACCAAACATGCATCTCTTCAGTAAGACATTTTCTGAAATTACTGAGTCTTTTAGTTTAGCTTTGACACTCAAATTTACAATTAAATTTCAGAATTTAAATTCACCCACTGAGGTGACCAGTACAATTCACAAATCTTAAGAGATTTTCTTTTGGATGGTTTCCCAAGACCACAAATGCTTTCAGTTTAGTTTACAGGGGTGTAGGTTGTAGCCGTGTTGGTCTAAGGACATAGGCAGACAAGGTTCTTTGGGTAAATCTGGTATCTTTTATTAAACCAACTCATTCCATCCAAGAAGAGCACACACCAACTGCAGATGTTTCCTCAGCCTGACAAAGGGTATTTATACCCAAAAGCTTGCAAAGAAGAATTGTTCCAACTATCTGAGTTGGCCTAATAAAAAAAATATCAGATTTACCTGAAGAACCCCGTCTACCTTCAGTTCAGTTTTGAATTTCACACAAAAAGGTAATTTTCTAAAAAGGAAAGCGTAGATTTCTACAACTAACAAATCTGGTAGTAAATAGAAATCACCAGATGATTTATTATTTTGGAGCTGAGACTAAAGAATCTATCTGGGAAAAGAATATGGATCAGTGGGTGTCTCTACACGTTCATGAATGTGCTTTTGCTAAGGCACATAAAATGTAGTACCTCCGTTGTGAGGTACTAAAAAAACATGCATTAGCTTCTTTTAATGCACATTTTATGCTTATTTTAATACATGGGAGGTTATGCTTAGGGGCAACCAACACGGGTTCATTAGAGGCAGGTCCTGTCAGACCAACCTGGTGGCCTTCTATGACCAGGTTACCAAATCCTTAGATGCAGGGGTAGCAGTGGACATAGTCTTTCTGGACTTTCGGAAGGCCTTCAACACTGTCTCTCACCCCGTTCTCATTAAAAAACTGGGGGACTGTGGTGTCGACACCCACACAGTCAAATGGGTCGCCAACTGGCTGGAGGGCCGCACCCAGAGAGTGGTGGTGGATGGGTCATTTTTGACCGGGAGGGATGTGGGCTTGGTCCTCAGGCCCGCACTGTTCAACATCTTCATCAGTGACTTGGACAAGGGGGTAAAAAGTACCCTGTTCACATTTGCTGATGACACTAAGATGTGGGCACGCTAAAAGGAAGGAATAGGCTACAATCGGACCTAAACAGATTACAGGGGTGGGCAGATGAGAATAGGATGGGATTCAACACTGACAAGTGCAAGGTGATGCACCTGGGGAGGAAGAACCAGCACCATACCTACAGGCTGGGGAACTCCCTTCTTGTCAGTGCAGAGGCAGAAAAGGATCTTGGAGTCATCATTGATGCCAAGATGAACATGGGCTGGCAGTGTGGGGAGGCAGTCAGGAAGGCCAACCGCACCTTGTCATGCATCCACAGATGCATCTGGAGCAGGTCCAAGGAGGTGATCCTCCCCCTCTATGCGGCACTGGTCAGGCCACAGCTGGAGTACTGCATCCAGTTCTGGATGCCGCACTTCAAGAGGGATGTGGACAACATGGAGAGGGTCCAGAGGAGGGCCGCTCACATGATCGGGGGCAGCAGGGCAGACCCTACGAGGAGAGGCTACGGGACCTGAACCTGTTCAGCCTCCACAAGAGAAGGCTGAGGGGGGATCTAGTGGCTGTTTACAAACTGGTCAGAGGGGACCAGCAGGCACTGGGGGAGTCCCTGTTCCCCGGAGCACCACCAGGGGTGACTAGAAATAATGGTCACAAGCTGGCAGAGGGTAAATTCAAATTAGGCATCAGGAGGTGCTACTTCACTGTCAGGGTGGCTAGGATCTGGAACCAACTTCCAAGACAAGTGGTGCTGGCTCCTACACTGGGGGTCTTTAAGACAAGGCTAGACAATCACCTTGCTGGGGTCAATTGACCCCAGTACTCTTTCCTGCCATGGCAGGGGGTTTGGACTTGATGATCTGTTCAGGTCTCTTCCAACCCTACTAACTATGAAACTAGGAAAGCATCACAAAAAAGAGTGCATTAAAATAGGCTAATGCACATTCAAGTGTGTAGCACCCAGTGAGTCTACTCATATTTAATGTTTCACATTCTTCCATCACTTTGATATAGTCCATTGACTATATCATAAGTTTAGAGTTTGTTCATTGCTTTGGGGCTGGTTCACCTGTACTGCTGACTAGGCCTGTGCGAATAGGGAAGTATTCGACTGGGATGATTTGGAGGACAGCGATTCAATTTGGATCACTGTCCTAAACTGATTTGGCCGAATCAGCTTCGGAAGATTTGGCACCGATTCAGAGAGATTTGGATCGCCCGGGAAGAGGCAGGCACAGCTGAGGAGCTGCAGGTTCTCCCACAGCTCCTCCAGCTGTGCCTGCCTCTCTCCTGGTGGAGGGAGCTGTGGCAGAAGACCCCATGGCTGCCCTGCCCGGCTCCATCCCCCACCCCAGCCCCAGCGCTTAAAAGAAAAAAAAAGCCCCGCATTCACCAGCTGCAGAAGCAGTGATTAGGGCCTCTGAGTGCTCATGGCAGAGACCCCCGTGCAGTGTGGAGCAGCAGGGATTGTACCCCCCCTCCCCTCCCGCTTGGCACCTATGCAGCAGCTGCCCCATGGCGTGAGCACAGCGTGGCTTGGCAGGGTGCTGCACACTGCCTGGGAGCTTGGGCCGTTGGGGCCGAGTGATGAAGCTGCCCAGGTGCCCTGCCGAGCTGTGCTGCACTTGTGCAATGAGACAGCTGGCACATGGGTGCCAGGCAGGGGGAGGGGCAATCCCTGCTGCCCCACGCTGCGCAGGGGGTGCTCTGCCATAAGCTCAGAGAGGCCCTGATTGCTGCTTCTGCAGCTGGTGACTGTGGAGCTTTAAAAAAAAAAAAAGTCCTGTACTCACCAGCTCTGGCAGTGACAACTGGGGGACTCTGAGGACTCATGGCAGAGCCCCCCTGTGCAGTGCAAGGCAGCAAGGGGCAGTGGAAATCACACCCCTCCCCGCTTGGCACCCACGCAGCAGCTGCCCCATGGTGTGGGTGTGGTACGGCTTGGCAGGGTGCTGCACGCTGTCTACTACCCTACTGCCGTTTGCCCCCTTCCTCCTGGAGCAAGCCATGCCTGCATACCGCCTTAGCTGGGCAAGCAGCAGCAGGGCAGAGCCCTTGCTCCCAGCACTGCAGCACCCGCATCCCATGCCCCCCCAGCCTCCCTCCCTGAGTAATGTGCCCCCCGCTTCGGCTGGGCAGCTTGTCCCAGCCCCAATCCCTCCCTCCCCCATCCCCAACAGACTTACCAGCTGGAGGCAGCTGTCAGCTGCCTGTTTAGTCTATGGCTGACTCTCTGAATCTCTTCCAAATCAATTTGGAGCTTTTACTTGGTCTCCTGATTCGATTCCAATTCTGAGATTCCATCCCCGAATTGGGCCAAATCGCCTCAGAATCAAATCAGCTACCAAAGCTTTGCACTGCCCTACTGCTGACAGTTCCTTTTTGATAAAGTGCTTTACACCTCATGACCTTGGAAACAACCATTAATTTTATGCCTAACAACTCGTTCTGCGTTGGTATTCTGCGAAGGCATAAAACATTTTGTTGTTCTATAATAGAAGTGACAAGTTACTTATACAAGTTCAAAGACCTTCCTTCAGTCAGTGTTAAAAAGACTTTTAAAGACTGCTCAAAAACACAGCTCCCTCAGCCATTAAATATTAAAGGAATATTTAGGTAAAGTGGCCTGCAAAAGAGGAAAAGACAAAGCTAAAAAGATGAAATTCAGGCCACACAAAATTTGTTACTTTTGCTAAAAACAGGCTTTTTCAGTAAAAGAAAAAAAAAAATAAAAGGATTTGCTGATGTAACTGCTCCAGTTGAGCTATCCAGGCAAACACTCCTATGGTCATCAACACAAAATGTTTGGCAGCTGAGCTTATACTAGCTCCCAAAATGAAATAGTGTATCCCAGGAAAAAGACTTTTTGCTGCTATTCCTGAATCTACATTAGAGGGTTTTGTGGGCATAGTTCTTGCAGACAGAAATATGATTCCTCCTCTTTTCCCAGGTCCACACAGCTGTGTTGGCAACACTTAATACAGCAGCAATTCAGTTGATAATTGAGCAATTATAACTTACAGACTAGTTTTGTTGCCAGTAAGTTTATCAAAAAACAAAAAAGTGGTTAGAAAAAGGCTACATTTTAATTGCTAAGGTTCTGGAGTGTCAATAGAATAGAAGTCAACATAATTAGTGGTCAGAAAGGTGACTTCAAAAGGTACAATTAGTTTAATTATGTGAAAAACACAATAATAGCAATGGTTGAAGTCAGCCTTCATAAAAGCAAGTTTTCCCAATACTATGCTGGAAATTCCAGTTTATGTTAAGCTAAACAGATCTGCTACTTCAGTTTGTCAATCCCTTAAGAATTAGGTGATCACTAAACCTCTACTGGCCTTTAGCACTGTGGGGCTTGATTTCAAAATTGTTGCATTAAACTCACTGTACCATCCAGATGCCATTGATTTACAAAAACAGTAACCAAAGAGGACCAGAAGATGATTTTTTTTTTTTTTTTTTTTTTTTTTTTTTTTTTTTTTTACAGGAAAGCCAACGTTTCACAACAAGTAGCCAGTTACTATTACATTTCCTGCTCTTAAAATGTTAGATAACAGCAGTCTTGTACTGACATCTCCACAAGGATCAGCTTACAAGAACAGGTATAAATCGGTTAACACTCTGACAACAGTCCCGTATGGAGTACACTCATTTCTGAAGTGGAAAGGAAGTAATGTTCCCAATAGCATGTATGATCATTTCCCAACAGTTATGAAACACAGACAACTTACTGCAGTCCTAGGCTGTGAGCGGACACTCATTAGGAGTTTACTTAAATCATGGTTAGACTTACCAATTCTTGTGGGTTGCTGCAGCATAAAAAGCAAGTTCTGTGGACATTTTGCAGATGTGCTCTGGTGGCTCCATCCCTTGGCACTGATTGGCAGAGAGGCCCTGGCGGGAAAGGGATGAGGCGGCAGGTGCCCTTCCTGCGGCCCCACTCCTCAGCACTGATCAGCGGAGAGGCCAGGGGGAGGGAGGAAGGAGGGACTGGGAGGCAGCAGCCATCTTTTCTGCTGCCTTCACGTGACCCCACCAGCTGATGGGGCTGGGACGCAACGGCAGTGAGGACCACTGGCACCCACTGAGGAATCAGCATTTTAAGTTTTTTTGTTGTTGATTTCAAGGACAATCCTGGATTTCATGGTTTCCACGAAGCCCGTGAAACCATGATTTAAGTAGACAGCTAACAATCATCCTTCTTTCCAAGGAGGGAGGAGATAAGTTGTTAACTCACTTTTCCACTAGGTTCACACTTGAGAACATGGGCTGGCAGGATAAAGATTCTTTACCCTGTAAGATTTCAGCCTCATCCTGCCAGTCACTAGAATTCGACTAGCGTATAAAGTCTGACAGAACGTGAAAGAAATAGTCTTTACAGTCAGAGCCCACGTTCTCCTCCTTGGTTTAGATGCATTCAGTTCTTAACTTTTCTCTACTAATTTACCAGTAGGAAGCAAAATCTGTACTTGGCAGAGGGGAAAACAATCTTATCTCAGAAAAAGTTATTGTGGTAATCCAAGATCACAGATGAACTGACCTTACTCAAATAAGCTTTTCTCTATCGAGGAACATCTTTTTGCAACAGGTAGTACAGAAATTCTGAGGGTTAATATTTAGCTGGTTCTCAGGACTTTACACAAGTAGGCATACTTCAACTGCACTGCATTAAGCTGCTACTTAAATTGCTTCATACACTGATGGAATATACAGAAGTATTTCATAAGAGCTCTTAAAAAATATAGCGACCAAACAGAGGACACAATGAAACCTGGCTCATTTCATTGGCACAGCTTGCTGTATCATCTAGGGAAGAACCCGAGTATCACGAATCAGTGTCCTGTGGATAGAAATCAGACTTGCAAATGCTTCTGTATTAAGAATTTCAAAATCCATTTTAAACGATTTACTGAAACAGAACAAATTATTTATAAGGGATAGCAGTGCAACAGACACATTCTGAGCCCTGAGTAGCAGAGGTGCTTGCAGGGGCCCAGCCAGCAGCAGCTTCTTGTGTCCTCTTTAAGTGGGCAGCTGCGGCTGGGGTCCCAGTTGCCCACCACTCTTTACACTATTGTGAAGGTGTCACTTAAGTGAATACATACCAATGTTATGTAGTTTCTATACTCTTTTTTTCAACGGAGCCAACCAGATGCTTTGAAGTGTAAAACTTCAATAACTGATCATTAGGAAACAAGACACCATTTATGTCTTTATGTTTCTTAACCCCAGCAGTTAATGGATAACTGATGTAGGTCTCTCTCAGGTTTGAGATATTGTACACATGTTGAAAAACATTTACTTCTCTACAAGTCAACTTCTACACCTCAATAATAATTTTTAGGAATATATTTCAGTCATGAAGTGATGTATTTGCACTTATCATTTGAAGCTGTTATTTTAATTTCTACTAGGTAATTCCTTTGGTTGAGAGAATGATTCATGCACCTCTTTATATCATTCAGTATCCCTTTCTGTTGTCCCTTCTTATTCATTAGCTCAACTAGGCAATCCTAATCTTTCAAATCCCTTACAAATATATCTTCTGGTTTATGCCTTCACTGATTTCTATAACAGATTGAAAAAAAAAATCCTGATACATACCTGACTTAAAAGTTGTCCATGAAAAATGGTATTGACCACATTCAGAACCTGTTTCATAAGTTTCCTTTGAGAAGCAGGGATGAGAGCTGGGTATCTGGTCCCAGTGGTTTCCAGTTCCTGCTGTACTTTATCTAAAAGTTCACAGAGGAATTCCTGAGCATCTTGTTGGGCATAACCTCGGAAAGCTGGGATTAATCTCCATACAGAATGGAGCATAGCAAAAGGAGATACCAGTGCCCACTTGCCAGACCACATAACTTGGAACAGAGTATGTAGTTCATGACAAAGAGATATGTGCTCTGAGCTTGGCTCCTTGGGCTGTATAAGTTCCATATTTCTACTTTTTGATGCCCCTCCACTTAGTCCAGAGGATAAACTAGGTTGCCTTGAAGATGATCCTTTCACCTTCTCTTGATTCTCATTCACATGAAACACAGAGCCAATAACCAGAGGGTACTTCTTAGAAGACCTTGTTTTACCATTGACTGCTGTTGCCAGCAACTCCTGAGTTTGGTTCAGATCAAGCTTTAAAAAACATTGCCGAAAAATAAGTAAATGACTCAGTACTTGCAGAATAGAGTTCATGTAGCACGTATTTCCCAAGTTTCTCAGTCCTGTTACACCAGGAGTCACCGTAGGCCTTCGTTTAATTGGGGAGTCACTGATTTTTTTCAGTTTTACTTCATCTGAGGTATGTGTTCCTTTTAGCTTTGCAGGCAAGTCCAGATCATGTTGTATTTTTTGTACGCAGGATGGTACCCTTGAGATTTGACTTCTATTTTGTAAACGAGTACTCTTTCTTGGAGGCATTTTTTCCATCTCTGCTTTCATCTGACGCTTTCGCTCTTGTCTTCTCTTCCGAGCTCTATCCCTCTTTTCCTCTGCCTCTTCCCGATGCCTTTCTTCTTCCAAAATCCTTTTTCCAGTAGGCGTTAGCTCAAACCATGTTCTGAATACTTTGCCCATTAATGCACGCCTCCTGTGCCACAAAGCCGTGAACATGCGGTCTTCATTACGAAGCAAAGCTTGGGCACAATCATGTGAAAGGTATGAATCATCACTTGCTCCCATGGATCGTAAAGTCCGGCCGCTACGGGTAGTGCAGTCATAGTTTTGACTCTTGATTGCATTTAATGTACTTCGCAACAGTTTTAAGTCACCAGTGGCATTATCATTCAGAACGTAGTCATCACAAAGATAACAGAAAACATACAGCTCATTTACTTCCAATGCCACAGGATGGCTACTTTCCTGAAAGTGCTTTAGTGCATGCTCTTCAATATATCTTCCACATGCCACATGGGAACAGCTGAGGCATGCCCATACAGATTCTGTAGTATTGCAATCCACACAGTGCCATTTCTGAGGGTTCAGGATGGAATGGTCTTGGGCAAGCCGCAGCCTTCCTACGTGTTTACACTTGTCCATTTTTAATACTGAAATGCTAGAGACAAGATAGGCTCACAAAATACATCATCCTAACTATTTTCTGTCTGAGACATTTTGACCTGCAAACTAAAAAAAAAAAAAAAAAAGATCAGCTTGAGGTACAGCACAAGTCAGAAGTTATTCAAGACATTTTTGATCACACAAATTTTCAGTTTTGAAAGCAACTATCACAAACTGATGTACAAGACAGCTGAAGTCATGAATTCCACTCTATATCCTAGCGAGCACACAATCATATCAGGTCACCCACTGGTACAGTTAGCATATTTATTTGCAGTTAAAGCAGAAGAGTCAAGGACCAAACCAGCATGTATACAGCTACTCACTCCGCTAGTACCTTTGGTGTCAGGACTGGGGCACTGTGATAATATAAGCCTAATCTAAACAAAGTTGCACTAGTTTAATTAAAAAATGTTGTTCCAAACTATTTATTACACTACTGCAACTTTGAATAGAAATACATACTTGTTTAACTTGGACCATAATGGCTTAGCTTTGACTGGTAAATTTACAGGTATAAACTAAACTGGTAAGTTTTAAATTGATACATTTTCATAGGAAGTTGCACCAGGCTTTCAGGACTGATTTAGAATTAATCTTTCATTAAACCCACACATTTTATTGTGTTTAAATAAAGCTGCAATGTAGAAGAAAGCACATGATTGCTCATGCTAAAAGGTGTTTAATAAATGTGCTTCAACTTTGAGATCCATTCTGGCATCTTTGTGGGGGATGAGGGAAAGACCTTATACAACCTGCTGGTGACCTGTAGGAATGACAAGCTTGAAACTTCTGCCCTAGGAACATTGCATTGGTCTGAGCTACATACAAGGTTGCACTAGTATAAAAGTGTAATTTTAAACAGGTTTTCAATCAGTGAAGATGATAAAGTCAATTTAAATCTGGTTCATACTGTAAATTTCTGGAGGGGAGTTGAACAGATATAGCCAGTTTTTAACAAAAACAAAAGTACCCACAGTAAGGGTTTGCACTGCTTTAACTAAACTAATTTGTATGCAGACAAATCCTAACTGATAAGAATGACAAAAGTAAAATGACTCTCTCTCTCTGTCTTTCCTCCCTTAACAGTATAAAGAGACATAACCTGGCAACCCAAGTCAGTACATTCTTAAATCTGAGCTCACACATTGGTGCTAATATTACTAACAAAAAGGGCCAGACAGAACATATTGCTGGTTTCACTCATGAAATTAACTCCCTCCAGAAGAATGATATATTTCTCATTAGAGAAGCTTCAAGCAACTCTCAAATATTATGTGAAGATGCATAAGAGGCTGTGTTGAAAAAGGTCATGTTTTCATTACAACCCTAATCACTTACTATGCTACAAGTCTTTCATTTTTACAAATTCGGAAGCGGTGTACAAATAGTAGATCATTACATATTGGGCCAGACCATATTAATGTGAAAATCCAATGTTTGCTATCCCAGTTATCAATACAGAAAGCTTTGGTGTATATATGTCAAATGTTGTGGCATTTGTGAAAAAACTAGATAAGAAATGGCAACTGGTTAGCGGAAAAACTTCTATGTACACTCCACCTAGATAATATCTTTCATTTACACATCATTTTTTTTTTTCACTGATCACATCTACATTACACTTGTTTTTCTTCCACTCCTCCACCAAAAAATGTTTACCGCATGACTATACATCTATAGATATTGTTTCACTATCTAAATATGATTTTTAAACATCTTACAAGCATACACTAGTATCTAACTGTTATCTGTACAGCCTTCTCTACAATACAATAAACAGTCTGTAAATTGCATTAGTTGAACTAGTCAATTCAACACATCTATGATAAGCATCCTCACCCATTCAGGCTTTGCCCCATGTCCTTATTAGTACTGTCCTCAATAGTTAGATAGGTGCCAATCCGTAATTCCCAGATTGGATGGGAAAAGCAGCATATTGCTTGGGATTTCTCAAGACCACTGCCATGCTATGAAAGAGTAATAAGGATTCATAGATTGTTAAAGGCTGGAAGGGACCTTGCAGAGCATCAGGTCCAGCCCTCCTCGCTCTAGGCAGGAAGACAACTAGGGTTAGGTGACCCCAGCGAGGTGACTGTCTAGTCTCCTCTTGAAAACCTCCAGGGTGGTGACTGCACCACCTCTGGAAGGAATTTATTCCACAGTCTGGACACCCTGACTGTGAAGGAGTTTTTCCTGGTATTAAGCCTGAAGTGGCCTTCCAGGAGTTTGTATCCATTGGTCCTGGTCTTCCCCGGGGGTGCCCTGGTGGACAGCTGTTCACAGAGCTCCTGATGCACTCCTTTGATATAGCGGTAAGCTGCTGTCAAGTCCCCTCTCAACCTTCTCTTCTTTAGGCAAAAGGCCCAGGTTCCTCAGCCTTTCCTCATATGCCTTGCCTTGCAAGTCCCTGATCATATGGGTGGCTCTTTTCTGGACCCTCTCAAGTTTTTTCACATCTTTATTGAAGTGTGGCGCCACAACTGAACACAGTCCAACTGTGGTCTCACCAGTGCTGAGTACAGCAGGAGTATCTCTTCCTTTGCTTTACATGAGATGCATTGCTTGATGCATGCCTGTGTGTTATCTGCCCTGCTGATCACCACCCCATGCTGACGGCTCATATACATGTGATGTTAAATCATTACCCTTAGGTCCCTTTCAGCTGCGGTGCAAATCAAGCTGTCACCAAAGAGCCTATATATGTTGAGTGTTGTTTGCCCCCAGATGGAGCACCTTACACTTGTAAGTGTTACACTTCATCTGGTTCCGGTCTGCCCAACTCTCAAGCCTGTCCAGGTCTGCCTGTATCTACAACCTATCTTCTGACATGACCACACTGCCCTATAACTTGGTGGTGTCCACAAACTTGGCCAGCGAGCTTTTTCAATCCCCCATCCAAATCACTGATAAAGATGTTGAAAAGCACCGGTCTAAGCATGGACCCAAGGGACACCGCTGGCCACTTTGCGCCAGCATGGCACAAGTCCGTTCATGAGAACTCTTTGGGTCCTACTCTGTAGCCAGTTTCCCACGCACTAAACTGTCGAGCAGCTGAGCCCACAATCTTTCAGTTTTCTGACATATCACGGGATACTAGATCAAAAGCCTTTTAGAAGTCTGGTATATAACATCTACCTCATCTCCCATGTCCAGGTGGGGAGAGACCTGGTCACAGAAGGAGATGAGATTGGTAAGACAAGACCTACGCACAGCAAAGCCATGCTGGCTGTCATTCAGAATCTTACTTTCTGCAAGTGTATCACATATAGATTTTTTAATGAGCTTTTCCAGGATTTTCCCTGGGATGGAGGTTAGGTTAACTATATTGGCCTATAGTTGCCTGGGTCCTCCCTCTTCCCCTTCTTGAAGATGGGCACAATGTTGGCCCTCTTCCAATCCTCAGGGATTTCCTGTGCGCCACAAATTCTGAAAGAGCTTTGCCAGGGGTTCTGCAATGACCTCAGCCAGCTCCTTCAGCACTCCTGGATGAAGTCCATCCGGTCCTGCTAACTTATAAATGCCTAGCTTTTCTAGTTGGTACTGCACCCACTCAGCATCTACAGTGGGGAGGCTGTCAGTCCCAGCATGTCTCCTACGAGACTTATCTCACTTGTCTTTCCTGTTGGTCTGGTGAAATACCGAAGCAAAGTGGGCATTCAGAAGTTCAGTTTTTTCCTGAATGTCGGCTACTAGCTGTCCCGAGGTGTTAAGCAGGGGTCCCACACTTCCATTTGTTTTCCTTCTACTGCCTACGTACCTAAAAAAAGGACTTCTTATTGTTCTTGACTTCTGATGATTTGTTGGACCACTGAAGTGTGCCTGTATCTGTACTTACATTTAATCTTTGTGGAAGGAAGGTGTTTCAAACTAGTCTATTTGTAGGTGATTCATTGTGGTTGGCTGCACATTTATTTTTGCAGTTCCCCATTGTGAAAAAGTAGCTCTAACCATTTTACAGATGGGGAATCAAGACGGGGACTTTCCCAAGGTTGCACAGGAAGCCTGTCATTCAGTAAGAGAACTAAACCCGTACCTCTCAATTCTAGGACACTACTCAATTCATGAGACCATCTTTCCTCCCAGGTTTTAAAACAAACAATTTATTATGCATCAGATGTCCTGTCTAGGTGCATGCACTTCCTTACAGTACATAAAAATTAAGCCACAATATCTTAGTCCGCAATGAAAGAGGCAGCAGCCGCAAAGTGAATCACCACCTTCCCCATTTTACCTCACAATAAACCATTTGTCTGGCACATACCCTTAGCAATTCAGGTTCAGAAACAATTTTCATACTGATTTAAGCAGCAATTAAATTCACCAACATTTCTCATGAAACAGCTTTAATGAAAAATGTTAAGATAATGTCACATCAGTCCTATCAACCTAAGTTATTAAAGAACTAGAAACTGTGAACTGACATGTTTGGTGACCTGTGGCATAACAATGGTGGGGAAGTAGGCCATGAGTCCCCAGCACTTATTAAGGAAGTCAGGAGCACCAGAATGGAGCTAGGTGGATGTCTCCCTCCCCACCCCAACCCTCCCACACCCTTCTGCTCCCTGCATGTTCCCTGCAGCAGCTCTGGCAGCAAGGAGGGCAGAGCAGCAGCAGAAGCGCACCAGACAAGAGCAATGGTCCCAGGGGTACTCTGCTGCAAAGAAAATATCACCACCATGTTTTGCTGCTGAAAATCAATCCCCCTCCTCCTCCACCTCTTCTTAACATTACATGGCTAGACGCTTTCAAACTGAAGCCTTCTCCATCTGAAAATTTAGTTTGACAAAAGTGAAACCTTGCACAGGAATATACTGAGTTCTGACCCATCTTTTGAAGGAAAAAAGTTACGGTCTGGAGTGAAGTCTGCCTAATTTTCTTCCTGCCTGCCCTCCTACCTACCAGGGAGGAGGCAAAGCTTCCTAGGCTCCTCCACAGATATGGTAAATTTATTGCCAGAGATCAGAAAGGAATATAGAAGAACTGTTTAGTTTATTGTTACAGCTTTATAGATAAGCCTCCAGCCACCTGAATGTTCACCAGATATACAGGAAATGCTTTGAAGAGCTAAAGCTTAACTTCTGACCCTTACTTACCTACGCTCCAGTTCAGGGAATATGTCAAAAGAACATTGGGCTACCTATATTTAAACATCTTTCTTATTAAGAGCACAAATCATTCCACTGGCTTCAAGGACACAGATTATTACTCTATGGAATGCATACTGCAGCCTTTAATGTGCAAAGTAACAAAAAGTTTGTCTAACTTTATCCCAGCAACGGAGTTGGGTCCACTGAAAATTATCATCCACAAAAATCCTTGCCTTTCACATAATTTCTGGACCATCACGACACCACTCCAACACTACCAAAGTAACAGAACAAATCTGATGAAAGCTCAGAATGCCATGGAAGTTCTTTAGCGGTTCAGGGCTTAAAGACTAATAACGATCAAAAGAGAATAATGCTTTTCTTGAACAACAAAGGACTGCAGAGAAACCATACCAAATTGTTGGGTTGTTACATGGATTTCTTTACAAGGAAAGACGTGAAGAGAATAAAAATGTGCTGATGGCTCGGTTAAGCCAAGTCACTTTCAAATATTTAGACGTACATAAAGACTGAGAAAAGTTTAGGATAATACATGGGATGAAATCAAGAATGGGAAGATCTCAGCTAAGTATTAAAAGTAACTTGCTGATAACATCTATTAGAATATGGAAGAATTTCAACCAGAAATAAAGTGGAAATCACAATACTTAAGTTATTTAAAACAAGAACGGGTAAAATTCCTAGACCGGAGAGTTGAAGTAGACAGCCTAAATTAAAGAATGGTGGCAGAGATCAGATACACAACCTGCTGCTACTAGAGGAGAGCTGCAGCTGCGGAAAAAAGCAGAAGCCATCCAACTTGTAGTATTCAATCAGACAAGGTTAAGAATTCCCCACATAAAGTTATTCAGTACCAAGATGCGTGTTGGCTTGCTCCATCCTCCCTCACAGCGTTCCACTCTCTGTACAAGCAAAGAAACTGGTCTGAATTAGTTGGCCAGCACTTCAGAGATCAAATCCTTCTTCTTGCAGTTTGCACTAAAAGCTGAGCAAAAAGGATAAGCTAAGTAACAAGGGAGAGACTAGCAAGAGAGTACTAACAAAAATGTGTATGTAGTTAAAGCCTGTGGAAGAATTCAACTATACACAACCCTCTCTCCCTCCAAGTTTCACTGGCACAAAAGAAAGGGTATCAAAAGACGTGGATTTTTTTCTTTAAAAAAAGCTTTTAACTATCATCTTTAATGTTGTTGTATCAATGTAAAGCTTGATTTTTTAAAAATCATATGCAAAGAGAACTGACAAACTTCATAATTTAAAGCATGCTCAAACTGTCTCAAGTTTGTTGCATTAAAAATAACTTTTATTAACCCAGACCAATAGACATTTTCATCCTGTTTTTATGTTGTTTAAGAATCTTTCCTGCCACATTTGAAATCGAGACACCATAGCTTTAAAAGAGTGAAAGTGAAACTGAGTTCACTGATTTCCACTGAAACTGAAATGAAAGAGTAAAAACAGCGACACATTAAGTGTGATTTTATCAAACCTAATCTAAGAGATTAAAATATAATTTCACATAAAAGTGCACCTTTGACGTTTTGGGATCTAAAAAGTTGTCAGGGTTCACTGAACTGATTTCTACTTTGATTCAATACCTTTTCAGTATTTGGATCATCAAA